CAGCACATCCGCGACAGCTGCCAGTGGTACTGGGGGCTTGGCTGGGACCATGTCGTGTCGGATGACCTCGTGACCTGGCGCAACCTGCCGCCCGCAGTCGTGCCCACCCCCGGCGGCCTCGACGCCGATGGCTGCTTCTCAGGTGAGCCCTCCCACCCGCCCCGCCTGCCGCCTGGACGCTTTGCGTCTGGCGTCGGACGCAGCTGGGGGGGCCTGAGGGGACCAACGACGTCTACTGGCGCTCGCGGGCGCAACCCCGGACTGCATGAACGCCGGGCAACTGTCATGCGCGTGCCCGTGCCCATCTTGTGCGCTCACCCATGCGGCGGGCGGGATGGATACTTACGTCGCAAATCGCCACACGCGCCCATTACGCTTGCGCAGGCATGGTGGAATATGACCCAGAGTTGGGTGTCCCCGTCATTGTCTACACCGGGTGAGCCCAACACTTGGCACGCGATTCCCCGGCCGCCCGCGGCGCGATAGCAGCGGCTGGGGACCCCTCGGCAGGGCAGCAGCCGCGGCCCCCGCTCCTCACCGGCCGCGCCGCGCAAGGTCCCTCGCACGCGCCCCGCCTGGCGGACGTCGTGCGGCAGACAGTGTTCGCCTGCCGTTGGGGGTCTGCACAAACTGCTGATCACCGCCAACTGACAAAAACCTTCGCCTGGCGGCTTTAAAAACCCTTAGGGTGTACCTGAAGGGTAACGAGGCGGCCGTGGCGGCGCACGGCCTGCACCCTCCGGACCACGACCCTGGGACGCGCTTTGTGGAGCGGCAGTTGGGGGCGGTGCCTGCAGACCCTGGTGAGCCCTGCCCTCCTACAACGCCCCCGTCGGCTGCCGCCTGGCGTGGCCGTCGACGCCTGCTTTTGTCAGCCCCTTGTCGGCGCCTGCAGCGACTGCTGCCTGCAGCCAGCGCTTTTGTTGTCTCATACACATCACTGCTGGGGCCGCGCATGCTTGCGCGTCGGACTAACGTGATGCGATGCGCTAAGTCCTGAACCCCCTTTGAAAAAACCTTTGCCGCTGGTTTGATCACTTTGCCCCTTGCACTTGTCTGCCGTCCTGACCCCTTTCCCCTCTCTTTCTCACCCATTCTCAGACGACCCCGACCTGACCCACTGGGTGAAGCTGCCCAGCTCTGTCGCGGGGCTGCCGCCCGCCGGCGTAGGCATCTCCTGCTGGCGCGACCCCTTCTGCCTGCAGCGCCCCGCTGCAGCTGGCGGGGCGGGCGACTACTGGGTGTTCCTGCTGGCCAGTGGCATACGCGGCAGGGGCGGCGCGGTGCTGCGGTTCCGCAGCAGGCACCTGACACACGGTGAGTGCGCTGGGGCGGTGATCGCGGGGGCGAGTTCGAAACAGCATATAACAGCAACTCACAGCAAACCGCAGCAGACCCTGGCAGATGACAGCAGATGACAGTTGTTGAACAGCAGATCAACCCTGCCCCCAGCCAGAAACGCTATCAAAATTTTGCGCCCCGCTTCAGCCCGACCTTGAGAGTGACCCCTTAACATCCTTGCGACCCTGCGCGGCCTCGCAGGCTGGGAGTTTGACGGAATCCTGGCACAAGGCGACAATGCGGCGCTCGGCATCAAGGGGCAGGACTGGGAGTGCCCAATCCTCGCCCGCCTGCCGCCCCGCGGCGCCGCCGCCGCCGCCGCTCCCCCCGCCCTGCCAGCCCCTGCCGCGGGCGTGCGTGCCGAAAAGGCTGCCATGAAGGCCGCTGCCAAGGCCGGCAAGTCGGGGCCGCTGCTGCTGCCATGCAGCGCCAGCGGCGCGAGCCTCGACAGTGCCGGCGGCGGCGGCGCGAGCAGCACCTCGCTGCCCCGCACGCCGCTCATCAGCGCCGACGCCGCGCCGCCGTGCCACCCGCTTTCGAGCGCCGCGAGCGGCGACGACGGCGCGAGTGTCGGGGCGGGGACGTTGGTGGTCGGGGAGGGCGGCGCGCCCGGCGCGGGGTGGTCCGACGGCGGCGCCCTGACGGCGCCCGTCCTGGCCGCCGCGGCCGCGGACGGCGGCACGGCGTGCTGCAGCGGCCTGCTGGCTGACGCCGCGAGCCGGATGGAGTCGTGGCTGTTCCAGCAGCAGGGCGCGGCCGACGCCCCGCCATCTCCGCTGCCGTCGCTTGGCCCCGCGGGCGGCGTGCCCGGCGGCAAAGAGGATGAGGGCGATGGGACGGCGAGCATCGCGGCGGCGCCGGCG